CTGTCCATCCACTTAGCCCTTGACAAATTTTTTTTCATTGCTGCCAAACTCTACTCAAGTTGGATTGTTGACTCCTGGATGTGTTGTGTGCCCGTGCACCCCAGAGCCTCTGCTTATGTGGTCCCCTCAGTGGAACTGTTCCTTTCCATCCTTCCTCCTATTTCGTTCAGTACCTTAAAGTTAAATTTACTCTTTCTTCTCTCTGCTTGGGCCACAGTCATGCTCAGTTTTCTCCCGTCTAAAAAAACTTCCTTGACCTTGCTCTCACTTCTCTTTTCTTAAAATTGCTTTTACTTTGTCACTATCCTCTTTATTCTTTGCTACTTGCCTTTTGTTTCCATTGCTTTCCAGAAACTCTTCTTTTAAAGATTGACAGTGATCTCCTACCAGCATTTTAAAGAGGCTGCACTGTATGGTGGTAAGGAGCAAGACCACTGGAGCCAGCCTGCTGGGGTTTGAATTCTGGCTCCACCACCAGCTAATAACTGTGCGACCTCGAGCAAGTTATATAATTCCATTGTTCAATTTCTTGATCTGCAAAATGGGAATAATATTGGTACCTACCATTATAGGGTTGCTTGTAAGGATTAATTAGCTTAGTATATGTAAAGCTGTCCTAAGGATGCTTGACAAAGGGTATGTACCAACCATTAGTGTTTTATTTTTTCTAACTGTTATTTTTTAGTCTTTCTTTTTAGCCTCTGTGGTATTTGATATGGTTGACCATTTCCTCTTCACTGTGTTCAAGCTCAGACTAATTCATCTGGGGCCTTTTATCTTTGTGACCCTCTTTGTGGTCTCTTTCCATGTGTCTGAACTGTGCTTTCTTATCCCTTTTCTGGATAATTTTTCCTTATGGTGATTGACCACCATAGTTCCTACCCTTATAGGAATGTCACCCCAAATTGTATTTTTTGCCCTTTCTTAGCTCCAGTCCTGCACTTACAATGTACCTAACCAACATAATCTCCCTCTTAAAATCAGCTCCTGGCTGGATTACTTTTTGTTAACAGACCTGTGGCAGTGTATCATAGTATGGGACCAGGGGAATGCTGTGTCTGAAACCTCTGAAGCTCAGGAAATCTTTCCAGATCAGTGCAGACTGGCACATTCTCCTTGTCCGGAATACTGTTTTCAGTGAACAGAGCTGGATGTGGAAAGGGTTGGGGAGACACATTACTAGCAAGTGCATTCCTTAGTTTCCTTAAGCCGAGAATTACATCTCTTGCTTCACAAACGAAGGGTAGGATGCCTAGCTGTTGTAAACTTGATTTTTGAGTGTTTTGTTTTTTTTTTTAAGTTGTAGGTATTCCGCTCCCCCTGCCCCCACTGCCCCGCAAAGCAGACCTAGGTAAATAAGTTAAATGTATGTCTCACAAAGCAGAGGCAAATGCAAATTAACTAGAGTAGAGAACAGGACATGATTTTAATTAAGCAGTGGTAGTTTTTTTTTAGTGTATTTCTGAGTTCTCTAAATACCAAAGGGCAAAGCTGATAAAGATTTCCCTGTTTTCTGAAATGCAATTTCTCTTACTTGGAATAGAAATTTTTGACAAAGATTTCCTCTAACTTGCTGGTTTACCAAGAAGATGTACTTAATAGTAATTAGTGGTCATATAGTTATTTGAGTGTGGATTAGCAGCTTAAGATGTCTGGAAATCAGACAGTTGGAACCACTCTCATTCTCGGTTAGTGCGCCTTGCAGTACTTTGACACACCGCACTCTTCCTGTTGACAACGACTGTTTAAACAAAACACCTTCATTCCCTAATGGGTTTTGCTCTTTAGGGATTAAACCCACGAGGACTATTAACCTAAGGACTGTAACTCAATTAGCTGTAAATGATTTAAGATAAACTAATAGATTCTCCATTTGGAGAGCTTGGTGTCTGCCTTCCTTAATTTTTTCTCCATCCGTCTAATGAAGAGTAAATGTATTCTTTTGTCACAGTTGTCATCACTCTTTTTTTGTTTCGTGTTTTTTTTTTTTCCCCTGTATAAGTTTGTTACCTGATGTTTTGGAAGGTTTTAGGATAATTTACCTTGAGGATCCTTCTTTTCTATACCAGATCTTTGCTGCTCAAGTCTGACTTGGCTTCCCGATGTCAGACAATATTCTTTATGTGAATAGGTGTGTTAAAGATTCAGTTTCCAGGGCACACGGAAGTGCACTGATGGTCTCACCTGTCGCATCCTGGCTTGGGCCAGTATTGTTTGGAGCCACTCAGTTTCACTGCCCCATGACAGGTCCTCTCTATGGTTTGGTGCAGAACAGATGTTACAAGATATTACATCACTGATAACAAATTTCATGTGTAACTTTAGGATTCAGTGATCCAAGGTGTTGTAAGTTTGAATTAGTTTTCTATTTGGTGGTTTTCCTCTGCATCATTTCGGTTGAATTTTAGGTCTCGGCTTTTGCTAGTGTTAGTTGACTTTTATTGAATGTTTTTCTGCATTTTTGGTTAGCTCTTCTTTTTGTTTTCATTTTTCACTTTATCTCTTCTTTCTTTTAGAGTCTACTCAAGAGTAAAACTTCAATAAAAACTTGTATTTGTAACCTGAGGGGTGTAATAAATTCAAGTCTAAACAAGTTATATCTAATTATAGGACTGCTTTCTAGAGAGGATGTAGACACGCTCTTAAAAATGATTGAGGTAAACTTATGTGAAGTTGGATTTCTGTTGTTTTCTCTGTTATGGATTAAAGGTAAAAGGAGAAGTATTATTGTACTCTGCCTCTCTAGTTTATTTATTGTCTTTTGTACTTTGAGCATGTTAAAATTTACATAAAAAATGGGAAAGGAGGGACATCTGGATGGCTCAGTCATTATTAACCATCTGCCTTCAGCTCAGGTCATGATCCCAGGCTCTTGGGATCAAGCCCCCCATCAGGCTCTTTCCTCAGCAGGAAGCCTGCTTCTCTCTCTCTCTCCCCCTGCTTCTCTCCTGGTGTCTCTCTCTGTCAAATAAATAAATAAAATCTTTAAAAAAAAAAATGGGAAAGGAGGGGGGTGCCTGAGAGGCTCAGTCAGTTAAGGGGTTATGCCTTCAGCTTCTGCCTTCAGCTCAGGTTATGATCTTGGGGTCCTAGGGATGGAGCCCCTCATCAGGCTTCCTGCCCAGCAAGGAGTCTCCTCCTCCCTCTCCCTCTGCCCCTCTCCCAACTCACGCACATGTGTGCTTTCTCTCTCAAATAAGGAAATAAAATCTTTAAAGGTGGTAGTAAACATCACATTTTGCTCATCTCTCTGTAGCAACTCAGGGAAGTAGAGCAGGGCCCAGAAAATGAGTTGCATTTCATTTTTTATTTTGGCATTCATTTTTTGAGAGCTTCATTACAGTGTTCAGGGCTGACTTATTTTAAAATTGGAAGAGTCATTAACTGAGACTTGCAGTTTTTTGGTTTTGCCATGAAAATGATCCTCTTCCTCTTGAATGAATGGAGTGTATGATTTTTTTGGCTGCATGCTTGGAGAATGGAGAGTAGAAAGGGCTTTAGAGAACATCTAAGGCAATACACCGACTGTTTTAGGTGAGGAAACTGAGATTCAATGAGTTGTCTAGAGTTGTGCATTGTGCTTGCAGAATCAGGACCGAGAAAGAAAGGATCTTTTGATTACCCCTGTGCTTCTCTGAGGAGTCCTGGCATCTCAGAAGGCAGAGATTTTTGTCATCTTTGTCAGTTGACCAGTTTCTCCCAAAGCAAGAAATTAGGGGCCTAGTTTGAAGCACTTAACACAAAGAATTAAATGTACCAACTTGAAAATGTACATTGATTTTGATTTTGTCTGCTTTTACCATCCTGGTAGATAAATTTGTGATTGAAAGGGAGTATAAAAGTTCTTCAGTAATTAACTCAGTGGAGAGAAATTACCAAAATAGGTATTGATTCTAGGTCATTCTGCCCCCTAACTCTCCTTCCCCAAACACAGTGAGAATTTAAGAGAATTTAGGAGATCCATTACAAGAGTCATATTCATACTAGCTGTTATGGTGATTTATGATATATTTACTATTAGGTAAGGAATACCTGCTCTTTTTTTTTTTTTTTAAAGATATTATTTATTTATTTGACAGACAGAGATCACAAGTAGGCAGAGAGGCAGGCAGAGAGGCAGGAACAGAGAGGAAGGAAAGCAGGCTCCCTGCTGAGCAGAGAGCCCGAAGACTTGGGGCTCGATCCCAGGATTCTGGGATCATGACCCGAGCTGAAGGCAGAGGCTTTAACCCACTGAGCCACCCAGGTGCCCCAGGAATACTTGCTCTTGTGGAGTTTTGGGTTTGAGGAAGTTAATGTAGAATTAGAGAAAGTATACTATGATTGTATGTTTGTAATAAAATGCCTTTTTGAAATGTATATTTTATGGTAGAAAATCATTTATGGATAAAGGAATTCATTATGATATTCATTTAGTCTCATTCTATTTAATGGGATATCACTACTTGAATTTTTCATTTTTATTGTTTTAAAAACTGTTTTTTTTTTTTTTTTAAGATTTTATTTATTTATTTGACAGACAGAGATCACAAGCAGGCAGAGAGAGAGGAGGAAGCAGGCTCCCCGCCGAGCAGAGAGCCCGATGCAGGGCTCGATCCCAGAACCCTGAGATCATGACCCGAGCCGAAGGCAGCGGCTTAACCCACTGAGCCACCCAGGCGCCCCTTAAAAACTGTTTTTATAAGTTTGTTTCTTTTCTTTTCTTTCTTTCTTTTTTTTTTTTTTTTAGGAAATCTCTAATACCCAATGTGGGGTTCAAACTTACAACCCCAAGATCAAGAATTGCATGCTCTTCTGATTGGGCTCACCAGGCACCCCTGTTTTTATAAGTTTTTGATAATAGGAAATAGTCATTTTGTATTTCTTTGTTCCCTTTGGACATGCTAACTGAGTCAGTTTGGGTTTACTGGGCTGTTCCCCAGTCCAAATATTATTTTATTAAATTAGAAAAAAAAAAAAGCTTATTGAGTCATGATGTTTCCTCTCTTTCCTTTTTATAGCCAACACATATCTCTTTATGGTACAAGCTCGAGGAATAATGTTGAGAGAAAATGTGAAAACAATAGGACATATGATCAGGCTGTACACAAATAAAAACACTACCCTCAATGGTACAGGTAAGATTCCTTGCTTCTTCATCATGCTTTGTTTCTGCTTCTTACCTTTGTAGTTGCAAGAAGTAAACCAGATCCCTCAAGCTCTGAGACTCCTGTTAAAGATGAAGGTATCTCCTACCACGTGTACTGGGAGATTCATTCGCTGCGTGGGCCAGACTGTCCATGTTTTAGGATCTATAAAGGTGTTCTCACAGAGGCGATGGGGGTTTTGTACAAAGATACGGGACTTAATTCTTTTTTATTAAACTTAATTCTTGCAAACATAAAGTACAAAAAGCAGCGTGTGCTTTTTCAGTTCACCTATCGTAGTTAAAATCAACCACAGAAAGAATAATTTATCCGTATTAGTCATTCCGCCATCTCTCTTTATGCCTATTCTAACTCCTAAAATGTTTTTCTAACTCTGTTTAGTAAATACTTATGTTTTTAATTATAGAAGATTCTTAATAATTTTATGGCCTTTTTAGGGGGCTTAAGGAGAAATTATATAAAAGCGGAAATCCGTAGCTGCTGTTTTCCTTTAAAAATATTATCTGGAAGTAGAATGTCCGTCAGAATCACATGAGGTTAAAACCAAGTAATGGGCCAATATTAGTGATTGAATGAAGGCAGAACTGAGGCAAATACATTGAACTATCATGGAAGAATGCTCAGCCTTCCACGGGGCAGTGTTTCTGCAGTGACTTCTGAAGTGTTATTGGACGTTACTTAAAGGTTTCAGTAACTGGTTATCACTTGTTGCATCCTTTATATTCTCATTTTAAACAGTTAAAATTTAAGATTTCATTCCTGTCAACAGTTCTCCATTGTGCCACCGTAAATGACAGATACGCACACACACATGCACACACTATCTGCCAGCCACAGATGTTCTTTCTTAAAATGTATGTTACGGTGGGTAATAGTTTTACCCTTCTAAAAATTCAAGACTGTATCAGATTGATTCTTAATTTCACACGTGCTTTTGCAAAATTCAGTCTAGTCATTTGTCTGATTTGTTTTATAATGCCGCAAGTCAAAACACTCTTGTTTCTCCCTTTTAAGTCGAAGGACGTTTCTTTTAGAAAGACCATCATTGTACCTGATATTTTAATAGTATCGTAAAAATCTCATTAACTGGTCTTCTGCTTTAATTGGTCTTCTGAATAGTAGGTCAATGTTAGGAGCATTTTAAACATTATAAAAGATTCTTTAGGACTTGTCCTGGTTGAATAAGCTGATTGTCAAGTGTTCATTAAAACTTTACTCAACTGGACAGAAGTACTCAACATCCTCAGACTACTGTGTTTGTATAAGGGAGTGCTGGACATCGGTGCATAATCGAGTTCCTTTCCTGAGGCATGAATAAGTTTCATGTGGGAACTCAGTTGAGCTTGATTAGGAGAATTGATTACTGGGTTAAGACAAACTCTTCCCCCCCCAACCCCCCACCCCACAAGTGGAAGACAAGAAGAAGGGAAATCCTCTTTTCCCCTTAACTCAGTTTCAATACTGACCAAACAACCTCTGCCTACTTGGATTAGATTTGGCTTACTTTGATGAACCTTTGAAAATTTTTCTCATGGTTCATTTACTGGTGGTAAACTGTTCTGTCATTGTATCAGCTAGGAATTAGGTTTGGCTGTAAGAGGGACCTGGCTGTAGTGGCTTAAGCCCATGGGACTCCACGTTCTTATGTAAAAGAGACCTGGAAGTTGGATGTCTGGGGCTGTGGTGGAGAAAGTCTCCACACACCTTCCATCTTCTGCTCTGTCATGGAGTTTTATAGTCTTCGAAGGTTGTTGTGGTGCTCCAGTCTTTCTGTTTGTACTTGGGTTAGTAGGAAGAAGGAAAGGAAGAAGGAAGAAGAACAGAGGGACCCTTTTAAGGAGACTTTCCAGAAGTTTCACATGATATTTCTGCTTCTATCGCATTGGCCAGAACTTTGTTGTAGGGACTGTAAATTACGAGCTGGGCACACTGGTGCTTTGAATGAAATTGGGGTTCTGCTACTTAATGAGAAAGGGAAAATAGAGTTTGAGGAGGCAACCATGAGACTCTGCTGTGTTCATGTATATTGAACAGTTCATGTTGTCAGTATTCTAACCTCGATACTTGGAGACACAGCACTAAGAAGAACATCCTCCCTTTGTATGAGGATCTCTTTTGAGAGAGATGGAAGCATACATAGTTACTTATAATGAAGTTGTTTATTTCTGCACAAACTTATATAGTTTTAATCTGCTGGTAAGGAGATAATGGCCAGTAAGGTGTATTGAGAGCTAATTGAAGTTTGGGGGAGAATTGATTAACATGTGCTAGCGCTTTTAAAATTTAACACTTGATGGCAAATAGGTTGCGATATTTCTAAGAACATTTGATTTCAAAAAGGGGTTTTTAACCTTGTACTTGACTTTCTGAAACACCAAATGTAAAGAAGTACTACATATGATATTTTTGCAAAGACATCACATACTCTCATCATCAAATGATGCTTTGCCTTGTAGCTATGGAGTTAGTCAAATTAAGGAAACAAGATGTAATCAGTGAATAATTACTGAAGCAGATGATAAGGGTCATGCAATGTTAGAACTGGTAGATTTGTTAGAAATAGCCGAGCGCACCTCCTGTTTGATGGCTGTGTGGTCCGAACCCTCAGACACTGCCAGGCTAACAGAGCAAGCCAGGGGTAAACAGACTAGAATTCTGAGTTTCTGTCCCCACTTTAAGCTGCCCTTTGCAGGAAGTACAAAGTCCTTGCGAATTCAGTTTGGTGCTCTTCTCCTTTTCCTATAAGTGGTAAGTTCCAGTGAGAGCTGAGGAGGGGACCTGTCCAGCAGTTTTCATTCTGTTTCTCTCTTCTCTTTAGGTGTGGCTCTAGAAAAGAGAAAGAAGGCTTGGGCCCAGAACTCATTGTGTTTTCACCCATCCATTCATTAGATGAAATAATGTCTACATTTTAAAGCAGTTGTGGTAGATCCGCCTCAGATGCATCTATCATGCGTAATGCTCCTCATTTTGAAAGCAGTGGTTATACTTGATGGACCCAAGCACTTTTGTGGGAATAATGATTTTGTGGGTTTATTACAGTATAGTCTCCAAAAGCTTAAATTATTGTTGGCTGAATGATCAGTTGTGAAGAGTTCACTTACAGTAAGTTTTTACCTTGTTGTAGATACTTTGATACTGGAAATCAAAGGCAGTTTGATTTAAAAAAAAAAAAGTATTCAGACTAGTGGCGGGGGGTGTGTGGGTAGACTTATACATAATACATTGGGATAACATAAGCACCACTGGACACAGTACCCAAGGAGTGCGGAGACTTTTCTGTAAGTCTGGCAGTGAGTTGATCCTTATGATCATTTGTAATGATTTAGCCAAGAATAACACATTTAGCTCCAAAACTTTGTGTTTAAAGGAAGTGAATATACTGCTATTCCATGTGTCTTTGAGTTTTTTATTTTTAATCTAGTCCTTTAAAAACTGATCAAAGTGATACATGGGTTTTTTGTGAAAGACTCAGTCATTCTAACACTAAAATAAAAAGTGAAACAGTCCTCTAGGCCTTCTGCTGCCACCAGACTCCCCAGGGGGAACTTCCGTTAACAGTTTGTTTTGCAGAAATGTCTAGAGAGCTTACGATTTCTGTGAGTTGGATGCAGATTTATAGAATCATAGCATGTAGCTAAGAGAAGGGGCCCAAACATTAATCACGAGACAGAATAAGTTGTGCAAAAGAAGAAAATACTCTCATCTAAAGTTAACTACATAACATTAAGAAATACTTAAGAATTTTGAGAATGTTAATATTTATCCTCAGGATTATAAGAAAATCAATCTTTGGAACACATAAAGGCCAGGGACAACCTTAATTATCTTCTGTTTTTAGCTCCCACAAATGCATAGACTATAGTGGCTACCTAGTATAGTAGGAGTCCCCATAAATACAGAAAAATTTTTTGAATATAACTTGAAATTTGATCTGTATCTAGATATATATTTTTAAAAGCATCTTAAAGAATCAGAACTTCAATGGACTTAAATGGACTTAAACTTATTTTATGTTTAGTATCTTTAAACGTTTCAGATGTATATGGGGACACATGGAGTATGGATTACTAGAGGGGTCTCTGCTCTCGGTGTGTCCCTGGGCTTACAAAACAATTGCTGTGCACTGAACGCCCCTCCCTTTTGGCTTGGAGCATTTTCCTGTGAAGTGCTCTCCAGGGCTGCTCTGGAGAGAGCTCCTGGGGGGATTCTGTCACTGGGGCTTTCCCACTTTCCCGCTTCCTGGAATCGGCCTTAGCGGTTGTACATCGTTCAGCCCTACTTATCATCTTGGGGTTTCCTGTCAATAAGTACACTTATCTTAAAACCTCCCCCATGCCCTGCCAAATCACAACTGGGATTTCCATGTGGTGCTTTGGAATTGGACCTTCTCCTCCAGCTTCTGTCCCCTCGTTCGTACCGGAAGCCCTTACCCTCCACTTAGGAGGCTCTACAGGGTTCCTTCCAGCAGGCATGCCTGTGCTTGGAAGTGCCATCCTGGAGCCCAGGCTGCACCCCTGTCAAGTCCATTTTGATGATGGGTGGATAACTGTAGTAGGCAAAAGGTATGCAGGGTGGTGTTTAGTGTTCTTTGACTCTTCTCATATACTTCATATTCAATTGCCAGGATTCTACCATTTTTCCCTAGGGAGAGGGTTTAGCTTTTATAGGTTAGTAGGTGTGTGCTTTTTACCTTTCGCCTTTTGCTTGCTGGTCACTGGCAGACAGGCCTCTCTTTCAAGTTGTATGCCTGTTCTCCTCTTTCTTACCTCTCTGCCTGCAGACCAGTTCAGATAGGAATAACTCTGTCATCAGAGCAGATTCCTGGAGATTGAGAGGACCTCTTTGCATTTTCCTCAAGTGTCTGCTAGAGCTTCATTTCCTGTGGGTACATAATTTATGATCCAGGAGACAGACACTCATTGAATCAGCTGTTTCCATGTGTTGTCTCTTACCACCCGTTGGTCTTGTCCTCTTAGACTGGCTTCCTCTGACATAGAGGAAACTGTCAGTTCATGGTTCTCAGACTTGCCTCTCAGAACCTTGTTCTAGAAAGGGCCAAAACACGATCTCTTTGGCTCCAAGTTCAAAATTTCTAAGATTCTGTATATCCTGGGTTAAGTCCTATGCACTGCTCTGAACCAGTCACTCACAGCTCCAGCTGTGGGATTATTGTAAGCAGTTTGTGCATTTCTCTTATTGAAATCTGGAAATGGCTACATGCGGTAGGTAGAGAAGAGAAACTACATTGTCTGGCCCTGTACCACAAAGCTCGTGCATGTCGGAGCAAGGATTTGAACTCCACATTTGACTGTGGCGCTCTAACCAGTGCCCTCCATGCTGTCAAACTTATAGTAGCGAGCGATAATGGACCTAATGTAATGCACAGCCCAGGGCTCCCTAGGGACGGCAGCCGACGAGTTGGGAACTTAAAGATTTAAAATGGACTGCATTACGGAAGTAAGTTGAGTGGGTCAGTCTCAGTTTCTTAAGTGTGGGGTGGTGAGAAAACATGACTCTCACCCCTCAGCCTGGTGCTTACTAGAAGCATTGTGCTGTGGCTCTGTGGTCTCCAGGATATACCCTTGGCCATCGATGCTAGAGGGGATCCCCTGGTGTACTTTTCCAGTCTCTTTTGATCTTGCTCAGCTGGGGGAGGGATGGGAGCAGGTGTGCTCGTATGGCCACAGATGAGCCTGCTCTGTATGTGTGTACAGATGAGGCCAGGCTGCTCTCTAACCTTGTCCCCGAGCTCCCCTGGGAAATCACACTGAGAGGTCCTTTCTAGTAGCAGTGAGGGGTGAATGGGAGAGTAGCCATGGCAGCCGTGCTTGCTTTTCCTTTGTTCTTTATAGATAACTGCTTTTAAGTACTTCTGTAGGTTGCATGTTGCAAGTCTTCTAGCAGTGATAGTGACTTATTTCATGCTAGGAGCAAAGAAAACGGCAGTTTTTCGGTTGTAACTTTTTTCCTCTCTCTCCAAGATTATCCTGAAGGCAATAATTCAAGTGATTATCTTGTTCAAACAACAACATATCTTCCGGAAAACTTCACATATTCACCATATCTACCCTGCCCAGAAAAACTGCCTTATATGCGTAAGTGTCATCTCATTTTGATTTAACTGTTTGCTTGTGTTATAATAAAATAATCAAAACCACGTAGTTTGAGCACTCCACGCTCAGATCATCACTGTGGGTGCTAATGTTCATGTTACATAGCATATTACATGATTTTTTTTTTTTTTGATGAAGTTTTTTTTTGGAAGGGGAGGGGGATTGAAAAACTGTAGAAAAAGCTCATCCTTTACCCACAAGTAACCTCTATCATGAGTTTGATTTGTATTCTTACAGGTTATTTAAAAAATTTTTTTTACATAAATAGGTGGTTAGATAGAAAGTTGTAATGTTGCAAAGGTTTTAAAAATTTGTATAAGTGGTCTTAAAGTTATGTAAAGTCTGTAATTTGCTTGCTTTTTAAAGAACTGTCCATGTTAATACATATAGATCTATTTTTTTCCGTAGCTACTGTATAGTACATCTTTGAATAAATATACCACATTTCAGTTACCTTTTTCTCTGTTGATGGAAATTTATGTTATTTCCGCTCTTTTGCTATCACAAAGTAGTAGCATAGGGAGCAGCGTAGTACAGAGTTCTCTGCACATGGTGTGCATGTGTTTGGGGGTTCAGACCTAGAACTGCAGTTGCTCTATAGGCTGGCTTGAATTTGAACTAAAGCAGCTGGACCGGTTTATATCCCCAGCAGCAGAGCACGAGTGTACCATGTTAATATGGATGGACTTTAAAATTTTTGCTAATCTGAGGAAAATATTTTTTCTCATATGGTAGATAAGAACTGGTATCTCACTGTTTGAATTTTCACTTTTCTTATTATTAGTAGGTTCAAGTAACATTTTTAAAAAAGATTTATTTGTTTATTTGAGAGAGAGAGAGAGAGTGAGTAAGTAGAGCACAAGCAGGGGGAGGGGCAAAGGCAGAGGGAAAGAAAATCTCCAGCAGATTCCCCACTGAGCACGGAGCTGAGGTGCACAGGGGTTCAGTGTCATGACCCTGAGATCATAACCTGAGCTGAAATCAAGAGTCAGACACTTAACAGAGTGAGCCACCCAGGCGCCCCTCAGTAATTTTAGATGTGTTTATGAGTGGTTTTACATTTTCTCTCCTGTGAGTAAGTCGTGTGCTTTATCAATTCCATATTGATTAATTAGGTTTTCATATTAATTGATGTAAGTTCTTTACGTGTGACCTATTATCTGCTGTATGTGATGTAACAGCTTTTCAAAGTCCCTGGCTTGTCTTTCCATTTTGTTTATGGGAACTTTTATAGAAGTTATATTTATAATGTTTCTAAGTGTATCAGTGATTTTTTTAAAGTTGTTGCTTTTTGGTCTTAAGAAAGCTTTCCTTATTACTTGAAGGCCATACAAATACTCTTATTTCCTTCTAACAGTTTTACCATTTTATTTAGCTTTCTTTCTTTTAAAGGTTTTTTTATTTATTTGAGAGAGAAAGAGCTAGAGAGAGAGAGCACAAGTGGGGGACACAGGGAAAGGGAAAAGCAGACTCCATGCTGAGCAGGGAGCCCGATGCATGACTCAATCCTAGGACCCTGGGATCATGACCTGGACAGAAGGCAGCTGCTTAACTGACTGAGCCACCGAGGTGCCCCCAATTTTAAGCATACTCTTTATATATAAGCCTGTAGTTGATTTTTATATAACTAAAACTTAAATGAACATCTTTGTGAATTGCTTGTTTACCCTTGGGTTCTAAAATGGTATCTGAATGTGTTTTTTATGTCTTTATGTGAGTATTTTTTTTTTTTTAAGATTTTATTTATTTACTTGACAGAGATCACAAGTAGGCAGAGAGGCAGGCAGAAAGAGAGTGGGGGGTGGGTCGCAGGCGCCCTGCCGTGCAGAGAGCCCAATGCGGGGTTTGATCCCAGGACCCCAGGACCATGACCTGAGCCAAAGGCAGAGGCTTTAACCCACTGAACCACCCAGGCGCCCCCTCATGATTATTCTTTCTTGAGGAAATTAACCTTTGCCTGTCATAGTTGTAGGATTTTTTTCAGTTTATTGTTGGTAAATTGTTGATATTATATATCTGTAATAAAAAAGAGTCACCTTTCAATATCATCTAAGGCCATGGTTCTCAAATTTTGGGGTACATCAGAATCAGCTGGATAGTCTTTTAAAATATAGATTGTTGTGTTCCACTGTCAGAGTTTCAGACTTTGTAGATCTCAAGGAGGGTCTGAGAATTTTCATTTCTAACAAGTTCCTAGATGCTAGTCATCCTTGGGCCATACTTTGAGACCCACTAATCTAGACTAGATCCTGGCTCTACTGAGCCTGGGGAACTTTTATCATTCTTGGTCCCACCCCATAAGTGATTTTATTAACCTGACAGGGGGCATGGGTATTTAAAAAAAAAAAATTCTCAGTGGGTTCTAATCTTGCTCTCTCTTTGCTGTCTTATAGTAGAAGAGGAAGCTGTGATTTTTGTGGCTGTGTATTTGTCATTTGTTATTGTAGCCTTGGTTTTCTAAAAATGAATGTTTTTGTCTGTGCAGTGCTGAAACCACTAAGTAATGTTCTGTTGAAATATTGATTACAATAATTTCATTTTCATAATTTGCATATTCAAGGATTTATAGTTTTAGGAAATCTTTCTGTTCTTGGTGTAGTTGCCATTTTCTTAATTACTGCTTTATGGGTACTAATTAAACTCTGTTTAAAAGCATCTGCCTGCCAGGCCTTCCTACTAGCCCTGTCCTCCTCCAGGCCCATAACTCGTAATTGCTCCTGTCCTAGTGCTTGAGAGATTGTGTCAAGGCTGCTAGGCACTGCCTTTTTCCAAAGTGCTGGTGCTACTGTTCACTGCTTCCGTCAGTCTTGTGTTCATCACAGAAGAGGATCACGCTCTTTTGGCTAGCCACCTTTTCACAGAAGGCCTCCTCGTGGGCTGCTGGCTTTGGGTCCGGCACCAACCCCATGTCCAAGTAGAAAATAGGCCACATACCAGAAACTACTTAGAAAAGGGCTGTGGGTACAGCCAATGTAATGAGACTTTTTCCAAGAGGGCCTTGCATGGGCCGTGCAGTGGAACCCCTTCACTTAGTCATGTGACCTCTGCAAAGTGGAGCCTCGCTTTACCTGTCTGGAAAATATGGGACTATAATATCAATTTCACAGTGTTGCAAGGATACAAAGAGGTGCAGTGCTTGAAGCTTGATAGACATTAGTTTGATATTTCCTTTCTTTCTCACAGCTTTGAGGGAGCCAGAATTTGTAATGACCAAGGGAATGAGAAACCTAGGAGAAATGGGTAGAGTTAAGGTGTTCTATACTTAGCTGTGCATCCCTAATTTACTTTTAATTAACAGGATTATTTCCCATCCGTAATAGAGAACAGCATACTAAAATACCTAAGTGTAAAATCTTATTAAAATGTGGTACAAAATAATTGAATACAATACCTCCCTAAATAATAGTTAAAGGAAGTCTGTGTAGGAAGAAGATCTCCTTTGATGAAAACTGTCCATGTATGAATGATACTTAATTTTCCTATATTCACCAAAAGCGATCTGGCTATAACTTCTTCTTCTTCTTCTTTTTTTTTTTTTTTTTTAATTTTTCTCTAGTGTAACAATGGGACTAGAGCACTGGATTGCCATAAAGATAAAGTTGGAACTTTTCCAATTGGAATTCAGATAAAATTGATTTCACAGATTTTAGCAATATTTTACCTTCAATCAGTTACACTCTAAAATCTATTTTAATGTGTGTTATTTATACAATATGAATGACTTCTTTGTCAGTGTTAGTATTTATAGATTCTCCAGAGGGCTTAATCCACTTTCAGCTTTTTAAAATTTATGTGAGACGTCCATGCTAACGAAGTAAAGTAGAAATTTCACTTTATCTAGAGGTTAAAAATAGTAAGTGCTTAATGTGAATGTTTTGATTTTTCTAAGTAAAGGAGAGCTAGAAATGTCATTTGTATTCTTTGCAGTTGAAGGTAGACTTATCTGGAGTTTTCCTGTCTTTTAATCCTTAATTCAAATAGAATACATTTGTAGCAACTTTCATGTATTTTGTCCTTACTGTTTGTGGAATAGTTCCCTTTAGGGTTTAAACCTGATAATTGCAATAGTTTTGAGATGCATTAATTTTTGAGATGAATTTAAATAATTCAGTTGAAAATCAGCAAAGAAGGAGAAGGTAAACAAACACACCTAAAAGAAGCTCAAAGACTGCTTAGGGTGACAAACCATCATGCATGTGTTTTTGTAAAAAGGGAGATGGGAGCCGTTTTAGAGTAAACCACATGTGGTGTTCCTGGGCTGTTCACAGGGACAGGCAGAGGAGAAACAAAGCTGGATATGATCCTGTGTCCAACCAGCTAGAGCAGGTAACTTGCTCAGAGGAAGGCAGTGTGCTCATTGCTATGAATGGTTTATTGTGTGATGGAAGGATTCAGTGGTTCATTCTAGAAGGAGGGAGACGTCAGTGAGAGGGGATGTTGTAATTGGGTCTTGCAAGATTGTTCAGTAGGCAGCTGAGGTAACAGGGTCAGAGCACCAAGGGTTCTGTGTTTCAAGAACAGAGGGTGGTCTGCTGTGACCAGGGTAGGTGTTTGGTGGGGCGTGTGGGAAGTGAGGCTGGACAGGGATGTGAGGGGCCTGAGGGCCGTGTGGGTTCCATGAATCCCTGGGCATCCATGAGATAGGCCTCAGATGGAGCAGAGCCCCTGAGCCTATATGCCAAGGTTTGAGTTATGGCCTCTGTGCATATCTGGAGGGTGAGCGTGCACAGTTTTCAAAGGACTGGGGCAAAAAAGGATAAAACACAAACAAACAAAAACCATTGCTTTAAGCAGATGAATAATATGACTAAGATGGTATTCAGAAAGATTATTCTAATGAGAAGTTGAAAAATGGATGAGAACAGGGAAACACTAGAATCTGAAAGCTTTCTGAGGGGGCCAAGAGGAATGACAAGGCATCGGAGAGAGGATGGGGCACCAGAGAGAACTCCGGGGCACCACTGGCCGGATGTAGTGACCAA